ATTTATTAAAAATAAACTAATAGAGTATTGATAATAGAAATATATAATAATTATACCCAAAATTATGCCTAAAAGTACAAGTTAGAAAATTTCAAGATATATCCATGAGAATAAATAAAAGACAACCATAGGTATGGACTATATTTTTGTATAATTTAGATACTAAAATTATAAAAATATTATTAATAAATAAATTTATAAGATAATTTTATTAAAAATATTTAAATAATTTTAATATTTAAAGTGTTAAAAAAAGTATAATTCATATTAAAAAATACCTTTTACTGCACTAAATTCGCTGGACTACTTGGTAAAGTAATAAAGTGGGCGAATCAACTACCGTGGATTATTAATTTGGAAAAGAAGAAAATCAAGATATATTGTTATTTTAAAATGTCAGAATAATTAATAGTAATTATATAATAAGTTTAATAAAGTTATAATTTATAATATGTCATAAATATTTAATAACTATAATTAGACGTTGACATCTAAGCATTTTAATTGACATGTCGTTGTTATTTTCTCTTTTTCCTTTATTAATTAGTAAGTATTGAAAGCAATTAATCTTAAAATTATTTTAACAAATAAAAAGGCTAGCAATTTAATTAAAAAAAAAAAGTTTATCAAAATATGAAGTACTAAGGCCTATGAGTTGATCATAACCAATCTATATGAATTTCAAATTAATATATTTCTATAAAAATGATGTTTATAACAATAGGATTTTTCATACCATTTAAGATTTATTTAGTATAACAGTTAAAATTTAGTAGATAGTAAGTAACAAGTAATAAGTAATGGATAGTGATTAACGGATAATGAGTGGTGAATAGCAGAAAGCATATAGTAGATAGCAGATAATAAATTTTGATTTATATAACCAATTAGTTATATAATGATTAATAGTTGTTATTTGATGTTAAATATGACTATTAAAGATAGATTTAAAAGCAATTAAATATATATATTATATTTGTCATCATTAAAATGATTAATTTTATAAAAATAAATATTAAGAAAATAAATAAATAAATAATATAAAAGTGTAAATAACACACTCATTTTTATTTTTAACAAAGAAAAAATATATTATTTTTAAATAAAAAAGAAATTTTTAGTCATTTTGTCTATTTAACAAAATTTGTTTATTAAAATAATATATTTTTATGAT